ACAACCCAAACCTTTCATCAGGGTGTGTTACCTCCAAAAGATCCCTTGGTGTTTATCAGTCACTGGTTTACATGGTTTATGCAGACTCCAAAAGCAGCAGTGCTCCACCTCAAGTCCTTCATTGAAGGTTAGCAGTCTTTTTCCCATACTGAAAGTATTCCACATACATGTTTCTCCTGGCTATCAGTGCTGAGGAGGATCTATTCTCTCCTATGGTGCATCTTGCTGCAGCTGGTGATCCTGTACTCAGAGTGAGCCAAGAACCCTCTCTGGAGCATAGCCCAGTGGAGTCTCTGTTGCTGCACAGCATCTTCATTGACAGAGAGAAAGGCTTCTACCCCCTCCCATTCTCTCATGTCTGCATTTTGGATGTATTTTCCTTAAATTGGACCAACTGGTGTTAATAATATGTTTCATAACTACTTTCTAGAAATGGTGGCACAGATGAGAGCTTAGTACTCTGCACATTTGACTATTATTTGTAAACAAAATTAGATTCTTGGTCTTCCCCTTCCCCCAAAAAGGAGAGCATTCCTTACTTGTTCTGTTGGGAACACTGTTAAACTCTGACTCCTTCAGATGGCCCTTTGCACAATCTGTTTCTCTTCAGAAACTCAGCATTTCTCTGTGAGATTTGGTTTAATGCTTTAGTTACAGACTATTAGCAATGAACCACATTTCATGAACCCTGCACAGAACTAATTCCCATATGCCTTCTCATGCATTCTGTGCTGACCAACCTGGCCCTGGGGCACATGTAAGGATAAGTCACCTCACCTGAGACCAATGCACAGCCTGGAGTGAGCCCAGTGTTACTGTCCCACTGGGCTGTCCTCAGGCTGTTAGATCAGACACCCTTTCTGCTGCAGCCCCAAGCCCCAGCAGCACCAGTTCAGCCCTTCCATCCCACTGTTACCATCGAAACATCCCACACTCCAAGCAAGTAAAACATCCTGCTGTGAATTTATGCAGTTAACACAATTCTTGGCTACCCCACAGAAGACTCACTACTGCACAAAGGCTCTGCTCCCACCCCTCCCATCACAGCATGCAGGGCACCACAATGGTCTCCTCTTCCTCTCCAACCTCAGCTAAAAAAAGAAAATTCACAGCAGATGTTGTGATTTTTTATCCCCACCATAACAGGAGCTTCAGCTTATGGGAACTAAAAGTCACTGTCTTCCCTGAAAAAAACCCCAGGGCCAAACAAACCTCTGCACTGGGCTGCAACTGGAAGAATCCATCCTTCCCACAGTGCCAGCAGGGTTGACAGGAGCTTCAGGGCAGGCTCAGGACAAGGCACAAAGAGGCAGGAGCACTCCTGGCTGCTGCCTCTGGTGAGGTGTGTCTGCCTGCCAGGGAGCTACTTCCAGGAGCAGAGCCTCCTGAAGAACAGGTGTGAGGAGGGGGTGGCTCAGCTCTTCCCCTGCTCTCCAAAATGCCACCACCTGTGCTGGCAGAGGCACTGTGACTGAGACTTTTGCAGAGGCTCTTATGCTCTGATGATAAAACATTATTGTAGTATGTCCCTTATTACACTTTTAACCTCAAGGGATGATCCAAACCATAAAATATGTCTGAAATCTGCTTCTGTCCTGAATCCCTAGGCTGAATAACAGAAACAAGGATACAGAAATGCAAGTGAATGAAAAGCTATTTGTGGTATCTCAGAGGTAATGTAAGAATTTTGGCCCATCCCAATTAACAGGTCAGTGTCCAGCAGTGGGGGAGCCCTGCTCTGCTGCAGTGTAAGGAGAAGGAGCAAGGCTCAAGCTGAGCAATCCGATGCCTTTTGCCTGCATCAGGCTCCCAGAGGAATCATAGAATCATGGGATCTTAGGAGTCGGAATGTACCTTAGAGATCATCCAGTTCCCAACCCACTGCCACAGGCAAGGACACCTCCCACCAGAGCAGGTTGCTCAAGGTTTCATCCAGCCTGGCTGTGAACACTGCCAAGGTTGGGGCAGCCACAGTCTCCCTGGGCAACCTGTGCCAGTGTCTCACCACCCTCACAGGAGAAAACCTTTTCCTAATATCTAACCCACGTTTCCCCTCTTTCAATTTGAACCCATTGCCCTTTGTCCTATCACTGCAGTTCCAAACAAGGAGTCCCTCTCCGGCTCCCCTGTAGCCCCCTGCAGTATCTGAAATACTGAATGCTAGCATGGACTAGTCAACACCTGCAGTGAGCCACAGACATGGATTTTTTTCATACATAGAGATTGTAAAATACTTCCTCCCTGGTGCAGAAAGGGAACAATTTAAAATATTAGGTTAAAATATCACTCTCACCAACCTACTGCCATTTCAATTCTGTTATGTACATTCCAGTCAAAAGAAAACCTGGTGTTTCATTGTGCAGTAGACTCACTCAAATGTCCAGCAAACACACAGAATAACATTTATTCTTCCTTCCAACGACTCATTTGGTCTTGCTCAGTCTCTGGGATCACTGGATCTCCCAAGGAATACAACAGTGGAGTGCAGAGAGGTCAGATTTCATAGAGGCAGGAGTAAGTAACCTGCAAAGCTAGCAGATCATGCATTGTTCAGGCAGGTCACAGCAAGGCCACATCCATTTTGGGGAACACACCGATAATCTGAGCCCCAAGCCTGCTATAATTCTTTCTTTGCCAGGTTTGCAGCTGTTGTCTTCCTCATGAGTTTATCAGCTTGCACAGTTCTTGGGTAGGTGTTCTTAATTCACCTCAACCAGGAAAGGGTTGGAGTGGCCACGAAGAAGCAAAGGGAATAAAGAAAAGCTACTGAACTCACTTGTTGGGGTGGGGGGGGAGAAAAGGAAAGAAAAATACAATTGTTCAAGCATGAATTCAGGAAAGATATTATTGTTTTAAGGAAGTCTAAGAGGCCATGGAGGTACAGCCCAGACCTGAACTTTTGTGCCTCTGGATACACACTTTCTCCATCCAGATTCCCCTGTCAAACAAAGTGAAAGGGTGGGGACTGGGCCTCCGAGGAGCTAGACCAGTTGAAGGAGGCTAAAATTCCAGTTCAAAGCCACTCTGAGCCACTGAAAGCACACCCAGGCTGGTCAGTGGGCTGTGTCTGCTCAAGTTCAGCCACGAGCTCTGCCCCAGGATAAAGCCAATACAGTGCTGACTGTCCCTGTGCTGCAGCTCCCACTACAACTGACAGGGCAAACACCGCAGGCTGGGAAGAGGTAGAACACTCCTCTGGCTATTCTGGAAGCAGAATAATGTGAAACTACCTATTGTAATCCTTTCCTTTGCTTTGATCAGTTGCACTGAGCAACTCTTTCCACCCTTTTGGAACAGCTACAGGACAGTGCTGATGAAGACACTTTTTTCTAGCATAGCATTTTGCTTATAATAGTATGCAAAGCCCTTCCTAAAACTTTCCTCATCAATTACCTGTCTAGAAAATGAAGAGTTGGTGTTACAAACTGCCAGATCCTTAATATGATTGACTATGGCTAGTTTTAGTCAGCAAAAGGTCTCCACGTAACAAATTACTTGTCCATTTGTTCTCTGACAAGAAGAACTGTCGAGGCTTGAATATCATTTACGCTCAATCAAACCCTAATGCTGATGGAGAACTCTGAGTTTCAGTGACTCTTGATGTGCCCCACTGGGACTTGGAGAAATGTATCACCACTTAACACGTGCACTGCATAATGGATCTGAAAGGCTCATGGCTGCCACGGCCTCTGCCCCATGCCAGGCCTGGAGCTGCAAGATATGCACTCATTGAAATGGCAAATGGCATAAACAAGTGTTTCTCAGTTGCCATTCCTTGCTAAATGCTTATGAGACTGTTAACCATGGAAAACAAAAGATGGATGGATGGAAGAAGATTGCTCCTACAAAATGATTTTTATAAAAACGAAGAGAAGGTTGATGTGTGCAAGCTCACAGATACCCCTTACCCTACAGCTGGGGAACAGCAGTAACTTCTCCCTGGCTGCAGGACTTTATGATCTCAGTTACAGAAAGATTTGCACGTTATTATCAATAAGAAGATCCAAATTAAAGAAGTGACTCGAAGTGGTGGAGACTGGCCTGGGGATACACTGAACACACAGCATTTCCTCTCACCACACAGGTGGTGCTTACAAGAGTTTTAGATGCAGCTCATACAAATATTTTACAATATAGTAAAATTGTTGATTATGGCATAAAAAGCCATAAGATTTGATGTCTCCATTTTTTGTGTTAAAATAAAATTGACTGTAGGAAAAACAGGTTGTTATTTTGTCAGGAAAGGCTGGATCAGATGATCTGTGAGGTCCCATCCAACCTGGGATTCTAGGATTACTGAACTGCAGAGTAGTCAACATCAGTATATCTTAGCTATGTTTTTCCTTTAAAACATTTCACAGAATAACTCAGCTGGAACAAAGGAAGCTCAGAAAATTGCAACACTGGAGCTTTTTGGGTTTCTGGGAAGGAAAAAAAGAAAGAAAAGAGCCACAAAGAAGTTCTGATCTTCATTTCTAAATTTTAACAAATAGTTTGATTATGCTGTGCTTTGCCAGATCTGGCCTCCAGCTTTGGACCTCATCCAGTTTCCTGTAGCACCAGAGGAAATCTAGCTCAAAACTTTGGTTGTGCTATTTTCTAAATGGCAAAATACAACCCACCAGTGTAACTGGCATTTTCCTCTGCGACATTTAGTAACACAACTGAAGGAATTTTCCTGAAGCAGAGAAGCAATTCTCCTTTTTGTCTGCTTAAAATCGCAAGTTACTCCTCAGTGGAACACTCAAGCTTTAAATAAGGAGCAGAAATTGATGATTTATTTCCATCTGGACATTTCTTTAAGAATCATAAAGCATGGAATCTGCACTTACAGTTCCCTGAACAGAATGAGGAGCAGAGGAACCTCAGCACCTCCAAGGACAACTACTGAAAATGGCAATGTGAGCTCTTACCCTCAAGCAGGACATCCCGTTAAGGCCTCAGTCTTGCACATATTTAGCATATGAGTAGTCCTACTAAAGCAAGACTCATCCATAGGCTTTTTCACTGGTGGAGTTTTATTTATATATATTTTAAAGCAACATATTATGAAAGTTGGAAGGAGGAAAGTAAACCGGTCCCAGGAGGTGTGTTACCCAGCAGTGGACACGTACGGCCTTCCACACAGCATCTCAGCAGAGAGACCTCAGTGAAGGCACTGCCTCAGCCAAACCATGACTTTGTGTCATAAAGAGAAATCAATCAAAGTTTTTTTCCCAATACTCCCAAGTGAACATCTCCTCTGTAGTGCAATACCCTGCAGAAGTGACTACATCTACAAACAATTGCTAAGGAAAGGTCCCAGCATTTACCACAATGTATGTTCTGCCTTTCTAACCCTTCCTTCATTTGTTGGCAAATGATGATGCACAGAATTGCATAAGAAAACAAAACATAAAAAGATAAAAATTAACTTAATTTACACAACCAATAAAAAAGTTTAAAGCAATGATAGAAAAATAATATAAAGGCTAGATACATTAAATGCCAGTTCAACAGTATTAAGCTTTGGTAGAACAGGTAAAGAGCATAGCACCAATAAAATCCAAGGTCAGCACAGGTTTCAGTAGGCATGAGCTGTGATGAAAATGTAAATTTTGGCAAGAAAAGTAGTGTATGTTCCCTGGCGCCACAGTTTCATTTCTACATCCAACAGAAAGTCTTTAGGCTCTTTGACTTGTCGCTGCAGGTAGACGATGCCTGTGTAGGAGTTGAGCCTGCGGGTGCTGAAGTAGCTTTCTTCATTCCCTTTGGTGATGGTGAGGATGATGTTGTCTCCAGCATAGGCAGGAGATGGTCCGATCCGGAAAATGTGAGCCGGGACCACAATGTTGGTTTGGAAGTTCAGCTGGTAGTAGGTGATGCGCACTGGGGTGTTCTGGCAGTCCAGGTAATTAAAGCAGCTGATGCGTTCACACCTCCTAGGAAATGAGAAACGAAGCACCTTCAGTGTCCGTGGAACATCGGGCAAGAATATCTGTACCTCAGAGCATGGCAAAGTATCAAACCAGAGTCCCAAACCTCAGCATGCTGAACTACACCAGCTGCTTGTTCTGCTCTTCCACTGCTCAGAAAGCATTTGTAAATTATATAAAATGTGCTGCAGTGTAAGTAAAAGATCATGGATGTGGGGAGCTCTGCTGGGAAGCTCCACAGTGAAGAAAGAGCCAGAGTCATGCTGCAAGCAGCAAGGAGCTTGGAAGAGCAGTTGGTGGTTCATCACTGACAGCACAGGGCTGGGACAGTGCTTCAAGAAAATAAGAATAAAACCCCTTGAAAAGGTTGCTAACACATGGGGAATGGGAAACAAGCTCTTCAACTGGAAAAACTGCTCAATTCCATGAGGCAGGAAAAGTATATTTTAAGTCATAAGCAACTAAATATGAGTTCCCAAGGCACTGGCAGCCACTCAGGCAGGAAGTGGATTGGGAGATTTTGGGGCTCCTGAGCCTCAGCTGCCAGAGCTGGAAGCTGGGGGGTGTGCCATTCCCAGAACCCTGTGGCCTGGCAAGCTCAGTATCCTGCTCCCCTCCAACATTTCAACACTCCCTGAGGAACTGCAATCTGAATATTAAACAGGGAGCCCCAACCCCACTGTAAAAGTGGAGCACTGAGCAGCCTGGCAGCTACTGCCTGATAAAAGCAGCACACAAGATCTTACTTTTGAAAAACTAAATTATAAACAGAACCCTTCTAGAGCTGCAGCAGGAGAGCTGCAGGCTCTGATGCCTGCTGTTCGAGCAGCAGTTGGAGGGAAAACAGGGTCTCTGGGACTTGGAAGAAGGAAGGATAACCAGACAGAAACTCTGCATGGGGAAGGCCTATGTGCTTCATGTACCAAAGCAGCTTCTCAGAGCTCTGAGCACCTCCACCCACGCATACACCAAAGCACTAGGTAACAGCACAGGCAGTGGCCTGGCTGCTGGCACTGCTGCACAGCCCATACTCACATGTCAGACACTTTTCTGTAGTTGGAAGGGCACTCGAAGGACAGGCAGCGGAAGCTGCCCTGGATGTTGTAGCAAGTCTCTGCAGCTGAACAGTTATGGGTTCCTATTGCACACTCATCAATATCTAACAGAAAGAAACACAAGGAAAAGACATGCTAAGTTCAGAAATAAAAATTAATCACAGTGTATGGGCTGTGTTATGCTTGTAAGGCTCTGTGTGTGTGAGAAGCACAAGGAGTCTGTGGGTTTGGCTCTGAGAGCTGAGGGATCATCCTCACCACCCAGTCACTGTGTTACCTCTTCAGCTCCTGTGCCTGCAGGCCAGGACTGCAGAAAGCCCCCAGGAAACACCTGGGGTGGGAAGTGCATATCCAGGTGAGGTGTGTCAGGTTCATCTCCATGCTCAGACGCTTGCTTGTATTTGGAGGGACAGGGTAAACCACACTGATTCCAATTCTGCTAACATTCTTCTATGTTTAAGATGTCTTATATGGAAAATAATTTCCTTCCTTGACATTATCAGTTACTAATAGATGACAGAACCACTCAGCAGGGTGTGCAGTAAACAAGGGAGTCCACTCTTCCCTACAAGCAGCTTGTGACTCTTTCCATGCTGTTTGGCAGTTCTTCCCTGCCCAGGGGAGCATGGCCAGCTGCATCCACCCAGCATGTGGCCAGGGCTGGCCTTCTACTGCAGGGGAAGTGTTTTTCTTTACCTGTACTTTGGATCCACTGGCACACTCCTGTGAACCTAGTTGTCCTCATCCAAACACATCTGATGAACAGAGGGTTTAATTTTCAGTGAAGAATAAAGATGAGAAAGTCAAAAGTTCTCAAACCCCAAGATGTTCCTGTCCTGCCACTTCCCACTGCAATAAATACCAAACATGAACAGGCTTGGCTCAAACCAAGCATGAACATCTAGACAGAACTGCTGCGTAGTCATGTTCTCCCTGCTCCTGAGGTGTCAAGAGATGTGTGATAACTAGTATTATAAGGTAGGCTGAAAGGAAACAGAAATAAATAACTAGGTAGAAGTAGCCTAAGGCAGTGGAGCCCTGAACATCCTTGACCAGCCCACAGTTGGGTAAGCTTCCCACAGCTGTTCTGATGGAAGAGAGTTTTAAAATAAATTTCCTGAAAGTGATGGGCCCATTTTTACAGCTTCACAGGTCACTGGTACTCCCTCAACCACCACTGGTTCATGCTTAGAGCTTGCCTAGTTCATGCAAGGGATATCTAACCCAGCGCAGTGCTCCTACGCTGCTCAGTGTGTAAGCACGATGCACGTGTGAGCAGCACAACAGCTGGAGGAGCATCCAACTGGTTTCCAACAGCAGAGCACATGTGTGGACTTGTGTGTGGTGTGGGCACTGTGTGTGCAGGCCCTGGAGCATAAGGGTCAGGCCCTGATGAAAGGTGACCACTGCTGTAAATCACTCACACACTGCAGAACCTGTGTGAGTGCAGTGGCTCCTCCCTCATGTCCACAAATCCCAAGCAAACAAACATCTCCCATCACCCAGTCTGCAGAGGGGCCTTCCCCTTCCCAGAGCAAACACACTCTGGTGTGGATGAAGGGATGGAGGGACATGCTGTGTGTACCTACACATTGGCCATTCGCAGCCCGTTGTGACAAAAGCTGTCCCTCAGGAATAAACAGATCCTGTCAGGATATAACCAACCCATGCTAAAAGCCAACAGAACCTTCTCACTGACTTTGTGAGAGCTGAGGAAGCTGGGCTGTGTCAGGAGAAGAAATCTATGCAAGAAGATTGATCTGCATTAAAGCAAAGGGAAAATACAAAGCAAAGTGATCACCACTGTACTTCATGATCCAGGAGATGTGAGTTCCACCCGGCTATTGTGAAACACGGGAAATTAAGAACAACACTTCAGAACTAAACACACAGTTTTGAAAATTTGAGATAAATATAAATATCTTCCCATGAGATGTAATTACAGAAGTCAATAAAGAACATTTAAAGCTCAAAGACACTTTATGGCCCAGAGTGTAAACGTGGTTACCTAAATAACACATATGCACAAGCCTGAGCCATGGACCTTAAAACGCTGAAAACCAGATGCAGCAACAAGGATCCAGCTTGAGCAGAAAACATTGGCAAAGATCTGCAGTCACATTGTGTACTCCCAAATGTCTAGACAACGCACGGAGGCTTTAAAATGAAATAAATGCTAACAGACAAAGCATGTGGACTGTGTAGGGCTCTGCAGCTCTGCCAATTGTCACAGAGGAGAGAGACTCTTCGAGGGAAACCAGAACCTCCCACCCCCTCTGTTCTCCTGGGATAAGAACTCATCTCATACACTGAACTGGCTGGTTTAAAAGTCTTGCAAAGAAAAGTATACAATAGGAAGTAGGAGAGAATCAAAGTAAAGTAAATCCCTTGCTGATTCTCAGCAGTGCCCCTAGGTGAAAAGCAAATTTCTTCCATATTGCAGTGATTGCCATGAAAGCACTCCCTTCACCGCTTTGGCTGCGCTGCAAAATACCACAGGCAGTTTCTCCAAAAAAGATCCATATGTTGAGACACTATTCCATGAGATATAACTTGTCTGTTTGTAAAAAAAGGTACAAAGAATGTACCACCACTAACTTGTAAGAACTGCTCAGATGCTATCAGCCCTCCAGGATCTGAAGGGGCTCCAGGGAAGATGGAGAGGGAGTCTCTGTTAGGAACTGTGATGACATGACCTCTAAGCTCCATTCCAACCCTTTAATGCACTATGATACTATGATGAGCCACTGGAGCCAGATCTTTAGCTAGTAGAAACCAAGATCATCTTCTTGAGCTCAGTGCAACCAACAGTGTTACTCCAACCATGTTTTCAGACAGACATCAGTATCTAAGCCTGCCCAAACTTGTAACCACAAACCTGAGGGGCCCAAAAAAGCTCTAAGCTCCATTCCAACCCTTTAATGCACTATGATACTATGATGAGCCACTGGAGCCAGATCTTTAGCTAGTAGAAACCAAGATCATCTTCTTGAGCTCAGTGCAACCAACAGTGTTACTCCAACCATGTTTTCAGACAGACATCAGTATCTAAGCCTGCCCAAACTTGTAACCACAAACCTGAGGGGCCCAAAAAAGGGGCATGTACTCAGGAGCTACTTCCAGTGCCTGCCTAAACACCAGCTCAAGGGTTGCCACACATGCACTGAGTTTTGCCCTTTGATGAGCTCTGCCCTCCAGAGAGGGTGCCTGTAACCAGGTACTTGGAAAAGCTTTTCCAAGGGTTACTGTTTGGTCTACTCCATGCACTGGGAACCCTCTACACACAGGTGAGTGTGCAGGGAGAGTTCCACACCACACAAACAATGCCAGTGTGATCCATAGGTCTGGGTGGCAAAACCTTGTCCTCCACCTTCAACACCTGGAGCATGTTGGGTGCCTCCAGCTCGGCTCGGGAGAGCTGTGCTGACTGATTAACATCGTGACTCACACTATTAACTCTGCAACACGTTCTCAGCCTAGATCTCACTGTTGGCAGAGTTGGCAACTAACATGCCAACACTGAAAGTTAGCAGGAAAAAATCCAAACAAAGCCTGAGGAGGGTTCTAGCTGCAGTTTTCTAAAGGTGACTTTTACATTAGAACTTGAATGCACATGGATATCACAGCATCCAAACTCAAAAACATATATTTAAAATATTTTAAGAGGACTTTGTGATTTAATCTATTTCACTGCTCCAAAGTCAGGATTAAGTACACTTATGCTACTCATGATTTACTCAGTGCAAATTCACTGCCATTACCACTGAGAATTCAAACACAGGAGATGCATAACCAGAAGTTATGTGAAGGGTTCCTGAAAAACTAAGGGCAGGAAATGCCTGGCAGTTAGTGTAACCGAGTGCAGGAATGTGCACAGAGTGCATAAAGGTAATCAGATCTTTGAGCACCATCACAGCCAGTGTACCCTTTGGAAATGGAGGCTTAGTTCAGAACCAGACAGCTGTGCACCAGATGAAAACCACCAGACTCCCAGAAGACATTCTTGTGATCCTTGAAAAGGGGTGTGTGAGGGAGAATACATGTCATTTACACTAACATTTACTAATGCCAACAGCATTAAGCTTAGGTGACACTCTGCTGGATGGCCAAGTTCCCATTGCAGCTCTGACACTCTCCCAGTCTTCTGGGGTAGAAAACTGCAGCTCGTAACGAAGCCACAGATTTCCACATCTGGCACCTCTGAGCACACAGATCACTCAGTGCTGTGCCAAGGTGCACACACAGCTCCGTCAAGTAACCAAGTGCCCCAGCTGGAAGGATGAAGTGAGCTCCCTTGGGAATTCGTTTCAGCAATTGGCTCACATTGACAGCTGAGTTGCCCCAGCACTTCCTTCTAACACAGGGAAAAGCAGACACTGCAGATACCAATACTTGGCAACTTTGCCAAACACTGACGTTTTCACAGGGGCTAATGTAAAACATGGAGACTTGACTGAATAACCATAATGGCTTAGCTCAGTCCAGGGATTAAAGCTTCAGGATGGAATCCTTCCAGTCCCTAAACAACTCATTACCTCGACAGGTTCTGCCATTTGCTGCCATGGTGTATCCCTGCTCAGGACAAGCACACTGGTAGCTGCCAGGGACGTTCACGCAGCGGAAGGTGCACAGAATGCCTGCGCTCTGCGAGCACTCGTCGATGTCTGGGGAGAAAACACAGTGACACACGTATGAAACACAAAACAACAGAAACCTGGACAGGAAGGCTGCAGAACACAAGGAAATTCCCATCGGACACATTTTAATATGTTCCTAAACATGCACACAACGATGGAAGTCTGAGGTTGCTCTAAGACTGCTGATGGTGCTTTCTGGAATGCTGGACACAAGACTGTTCCCAAAAATACTGGTTGCAAGTAGTATGGACTCCCAGAAAAGAATCATGAGTCTAGTGCATGTCTGAGTGCAAAACTCACTCTGGTACCTCTGCAATTCATAGAATCACAGAATCACAGGCTGGTTTGGGTTGGAAGGGACCTTGAAACTTATCTACTGCCACCCCCAGCCATGGGCAGGGACACCTTGCACTAGATCAAGTTGCTCCAAACCCCATCCAATCTGGCCCTGAACACTGCCAGGGATGGGGAATGCATAATCTGGGCAACCTGTGCCAGTGCCTCACCTCCCTTATAGAAAAGAATTCTTCTAGGCTTTCTTGGGGGGCTTCCTTGTGCTAGGAAAAATGTGGGTTTCTTAGTTTCTTAGAGACTCTTCAATGTGTCAGCATTGGTAATTTCAAGAAAACAGGTTAAACCCTTCCTTTCTCCATTCTGCTCACTCTGCTCTGCATTTACTCACCAGAACCAGCAGCAAGAGTGAGGCTTCACTCAACCCTGGCCAAGCGGAGGCTTTAATCGATGCAATACAGGTAAATATATCTTCCCACCTAATTTTTTCAATCATAAGCTCTGGCCCCATGAAACAATAACCTTGCTGGTTTTATGGTCTACAGGTGTATTCCAGCTCCAGGTAGGAGGCATGAAAACAAACTCACTGTCCAACACCTGGAGTTACCTTTTGCAGCTCCTGTGGCAGGTAGAACTCAAAATCACCCTCAGACATCACCTGCTGCAGAGTCAGAGAGCACTTAGTGCTACAGAGAATACCCATATTTACCTTGACCTGGTGAAGCAGCAGCCTTACCTTTACATGAATGTCCATCTTCTGCCAGCTGGAAGCCTTGCCTGCAGTAGCACTGGTAGGAACCATAAACATTGGCACACTCCTGGCTGCAGGGACTGTTATCGCATTCGTTCACATCTGTGTCCAAAAACAAACCCACAGACATGGCCACAGTGGTTTAGAACAGTATCTTCCACCTACTCCTGTCCCTGAAAACAGCTACCTTCTGGTCACAGTGACTAAGGATGGACTAATTTGTCCTATTTTTTTCTGCTCCCTAGGCAGAATTCCAGAAAACCTGAGGGTGTCTGTTGCACCTGAATGTCATTTCTATATATGCCAGTGAAAGCACACACACATGCAGACATGTGTTTCAGACCTCGTAAGTTACATTGACTAAAAATATGCAATCATTGCCTTTAAAAATAATGGAGAACTCCAAAAATTTCCATACAATTCAAAGTAATTTTTTTGTAAGTTTTGTCACTACCAAGTTTCATCTTTATCAAAATTTGAATGAAGAGTCTCCTATTCTAACTTTGTTCTCTCCTTTTCTCTCATCTGAAAGGAAAGCAAAATGTATGTGAGGGAAGGGAAGAAAGAGGAGAAACTTGTCAACACTCATCTGACAATTCCAGTGTTCAACTATCTGCAGGTTTGAGCACACATAAGGTTTACTGTTTTTATAGTTCACCTCAACTCCTCTAAAGTCCCTTAATTTCCACTGCAATTTCTTCTTCATGGAAACAAACGTGTGGTACCTTCACAGTGCTTCCCATCGTAAGACAAGCGGAAACCAGAAGAACAAGTGCAGTGGTAGGAGCCAGGGGTGTTCTCACAGGTGTGCTGGCACAGGCGTCCGGGGTAATTCCAGCACTCATTTATATCTGCCAGCACAACAAGCAAATCCACAATCAACTGAGGAACACAAGCATCAAACAAGATGCAGGAGGGTACTTTAGAAAGTGTCAGAGATTGATCTGTAGAGGGTGAAATGCTGCACCCTCAGGTTTGATGCTATCTGACTCTGTACTCTAATTGGTGTACAGTAGGGACAAAATACAAAGTGCTGCATCATGGCTCTGAGGAACAAAGTGGGGAAATCTTCAGCCAGATAAATTTCTACAGCAGTAGAAGCACAACCCGTAGGGAAGTACTTTACAGATGACTTTAACTGATAACCTGCAGTTAAACCAAGCCAAGGGCACCTGGTCTGAAATCCCAAAGCCCTGAATGGCCACCCGTGCTGCATAGCACCAGCTTTGGAGGTGATTCCATCATCTCCTGAGGCACTGCATTGCAGAACTAATAACTGCACACTGCAATGGTGCTAAACACTGCCTCGAGGTCCAAGGCTCAATCAATCAGTCGTTTCATCTCCCCTGCAGTTAAACCAAGCCAAGGGCACCTGGTCTGAAATCCCAAAGCCCTGAATGGCCACCCGTGCTGCATAGCACCAGCTTTGGAGGTGATTCCATCATCTCCTGAGGCACTGCATTGCAGAACTAATAACTGCACACTGCAATGGTGCTAAACACTGCCTCGAGGTCCAAGGCTCAATCAATCAGTCGTTTCATCTCCCCCTGTGCCTCACAATGCAGCTCCTTGAAGGCATCGTACTGATATCCCATCTTGCAGTCACAGCGATAGGACCCGGGAAGATTATGACAGATCTGCCCTTCACCACACCGGTGTACACCAGTCTGACATTCATCCACATCTGCAGAGAGAGCAATTGGCTTAAACACAGCATGCTTAAAATCAGTGTTTATTAAGAGAAAAAAGAATTAATTAAGTAACAGGAATAGAAACTGTTAGGGCTCCCCCTGGACAGAAATACAATTAGCTTTTCCCACCCTGCTCTTCTCAGAGCCAGCTGTGTCTATAAGTCCAGCTCCTGAAAAGCAGCACCTTATCTTCAAAAGGAAAATGGTGCCTGGAACTGCAATGGAGCTCTCCCAGTATATTCTGCATTTCAATGTAAACACACATTGATTCTGATCAAACCATGACATTTGAACACCCCATTCTGATGTGCTGCCATTCCATGAGTCACACTAAGCGATTTAAAGCAAAACAAGAAGCAGCCAGAAATTCTGTTCATCAATTAAAGCAATTGCTATTTTCATCTCCAGTTGCCCTTTCAGTCTCACTCCTGCTGTCTACCTTTTGCTCTTTCCCAATGTTGATCTTTTCTCTTTTCCCAATCAACTCCCATTTTGATATTCCTCATGGCCTCTCATCCAAAATCCAATACCAACAAATTAGTTGCTTCTCCACTCACATCATCACTTCCAATCTCACTTAAACACTTAAACACTCTCGGATGAAGATGAAAGGTTCAATACACACTGATTTACAAGACTTGCCACATGACTAAATAGCTCATCAGTGTCTAACAAATCCCTCTTGCCACCTGTGACAAGAAGCATCAAAAAGTCTGATTAACCCTCAGAATTATGTATTTCCGCACATATTCTGAGTTCTGCCATTTCCTAAGCCACCAGATCCCACTTCTTCTTCCTATTATTCACATCTTCAACTGCTTTTACAACGCAAATCCCTGTTCATGTAATATTAAATAGGACGGAAGTCTTAGGCTGGAGGTTCTCCATACTGTCCTATTTGAAGTAATAAGTTTGAGCTCTAAATACTTTCAAAGGGTTCCTGGGCAGTTCTCCATCAAACAATAGCCTTGAAGAGTGCTCTGCGAAGCAATCACTTGCTGAGGAAATGACAGGGAAGTGAGAGCAGAAACTTGGATTTGGGAAACTGGAGATTGTACCAACCCTGATGAGAGGCACTAAGAAATACTTGGTTCAGTATTACAGCACAGAGTCCCACCAACACAGTACCTCTGGCACTGGGTCAGGATGGCAGGGAATGCCCCTCACCAGGCAAGGAACTCCTGACAGGCTCGGAGGTTTCTGCTAAACACTGTCTCCTCGTTTTCTTTTAAGACCAGAGGTAGCACCAAAACAAGGAAGTCTCTAATGCAGACACAAAATTGTGAAGCAGCAGCTTTATTCATAATGAATTTGTGCGTGCAACCATTTCATTAGTTTGTCCCCAGTTATATATTCCATTGCCTTCACTTTAATTAGCTCTAGGGCATTACCCCATCAAGAGTGTGCCATCTCTCATAGTCCTTACAGCAGCTCTCAGCTCAATCTAAGAGATAGTTTTTAATACTCATTTAGTAAATCAGAAAATCTGAACATTTTAAAGACAGATGAATCCTCTAAACAGAGATGACCCTACAAGTGTTGTTCTGCTGGAGAAACATGTGCAGATGATGTTTTTACTACTGTGAATAAATCTGAATCAGGAATCTAATTAGCTATTGTAATGCCTCAAAGAATCTAGTCTTTATCACAGAGAGGGGAAATTAGGACCATATGCTTTTCTTTTTCTTCCCTGTGCTCTCTGCCTACTTTAAAAAAGCCATTCCAAAAAGATTCCAAAAGATACAGACCAGCAGAAGGGACAGAGTGCACACCGCAAAGACAGAGAAATCACCTACTACCATTTAACATTTGGTTTCCCATAATCAGGTTTTATACCTGCTCCTTAACAGCACTGTCAGTCATGTAAAGCAGAGACAAATGCCATCAGTAATCACAATGCATTGTTATCTCATCGTGCTCTAAAGCTCTAACTGAGGTCTGAATAATGGCAACTTCCTCCTCTGTCACATAGTTACACCTAGTCACTCTGTATTAGGAACATCTCTGGAGCAAAGGGGGATTCTTTCTATACCATCAGTTTGAAACTTAGGAACCTAATTTGTCCTAGTTGTTACAGAATCACAGGATCATTAAGGTTGGAAAAGACCTATAAGATCACCAAGTCCAACTGTCAACCAGCACCACCACCACTAAACCATGTCCCCAAGTGCCATATTCACATGTTTTTTGAACACTTCCAGAACTGGTGATTCCATCATTGCCGTGGGCAGGCTGCCCTCGTTAGCAAGGCATGCAAAGTGAAGGCTGTTAGTACTGCAGCTGTTCTGAGCTGCTCAGGGCTGACTGCTGCCTTGTGAAAAAAATAGCATCCATGGAGATACTGGCATGGTGGTCACCCTAAGCACAATTTCAGGATCACCACACTTCAGGTGGTGTAAGCATACCTAGCCCAGTTGACTTGGCAGAAAAAGGGCTGAACAAAAGTAGCTGAAGAACTGTATCTTCACTGCAGCTGAGACAGACAGGATTTTCAGACCTTCACTTTAGAATCCTAGAATCATCAGGTTGGAGGAGCCCTCTGAGATCATCGAGTCCAAGCATCAACCTGCCACTGCTGTAACCCCTAAACCATATCCTCCAGCACCAGAACCAGACACCTTTTATCACTTCCAGGGATGGTGACTCCACCACCTCCCTGGGCAATATCCCAGTGCCTGAACACCCTGAGACGAAAAACATTTTTCCTAACATCTAATCTGAATCTCCTCTGTCTCAGCTTGTGACCATTCCCTCTAGTCCTCTCCCTGCAGGCATGGCTTTGTAAGAACTGTAAGATTTCAGGCTGTATATAACTGAGACTGCACTGCTTTGCCTGGATTTACAAAACTGTATTAGGAAGCTTTCTCAACTGCCTCAGCTGCACACATAAATCATTCCCATCTTCTGCTGCTTCTAAATCTTCCCCACCTTCTCACTGGACATTGTCTGGACAGTCCTGGGGGAAAAACAATGAGGGGATATAGAGCAAAAAGGTGAATACAGAAATCTCTGCGGAAATGGGGTTCAGCTATACCACTGGTTTTCACAGCAAGTTGCTAGTCATGACAAATGAATAGCTACCAACATGTCTTCCAGCTCCCTGCAGCATCACCAAGCATCTTTTGTTTATTTAGCATCCTTCCTTTTATTCAAAGGGAAGATAAGTAGAAATCATTGGGATATCATCACTAACCCAGCTGCTGATTTGTCTTTTTTTTTTTCTGTTTCCCCTACTGTCATTTTATGATTTCCTACCTCATGTAACAGCACATGGAATCAGAGAACACACAGCCTTGGGCACCAAGGACTGAGCTTTCCCTTCCTTATGCCTCATGTGCTCATTTGCAGAACAAATGCTAATAACAGACAAAAATCTGCTATTCTGAGTCAGTAATTCCCTAAACACATAGGAACAAATACAAATCAGGATCCAGCTGTGTGCCAGCCTGGATGAATATTTCAACATTCTTTTCACAAAGAAAATATGAATTTATCCTAAACATGCCCACAAGTGGATGTGATGGGGAACACCATGCTTAGCCCTACAAAGAACATCCACTTGGTTCTACTCTTGTGAGCCCACAAACTCAGTGTTTCCTGTTTGCTGCATCCCATGGCTGCAGATCACATCACTGACAGTGAGATACTATAAAAGATAGCAAGAGATCATGGTTCTGACTGACAGCATGAGTTTAAAAAGCAGCTAAATCACATTCACTCCAAAGTGGAAGACAGGGATTCCCATCTGCAGTCAAAGCCAATGCTACCTAGCTCCAGGAAGAACTCCATGGAGCAATCACACATCAGTCCAGCACACTGCAGAGCAAACAAATCCCCGAGCTGCTGGGACTGCAAATGCATGCAGCAAATTCCCATTCCTTAGACACATGTAGGAATCTGGAGGTAACTCAGAAACTCTTTTTAGAAGCAAAATACACTTTTTGCTCTGAGGGCACCTGGCCAGCCCCCGAGCCTGCCCTTACCGACACAGCGGGTTCCCTCCTCGTTGGAGTGGTAGCCTCTGCTGCAGGTCAGCATGTTCCTCTGGCAGGTGTAAGACCCTACAGTATTGATGCAGTTGAATCCTGGTTTACATGGCTCAGGGAGAGATGTGCATTCATTAATATCTGGTGAAGAAAATGAATTAGAATCAAGAGAAATGCTGCTTTTTAACCTTTCTGGTCTGTTTTCTTTCAGCTACAAAGGTAAGGCTGATGAAGGTCTGCTGTGAGAAGACTTTCAAATTCACCATGCAAGCATGAATATCTTTAAAAGGACAGCAATGTTGAACTTAAATTCACAGCAAGGTTTGAGGAAAATGACATATACAAGGGGTCAATATATACCTCTTGAACAGGCTAAAAGGAGCAGGGGTTGGCCAGTGCTGCTGCACATGTTACAAACACATTCTAGTCACACTTACCAACACAGTTTCCCTCAGGGTCTTGCAGGAATCCATCCATACAGCGTTGCTTAGACTCACAGTAGAATGACCCTTCTGTATTCTGACAAACAAAGTTTACTTTGCAACTGTGAGTTCCTCTCTCACATTCGTCGATATCTGTTAATCACATCAAAACATCAAACTGGCATTAGTTAAGCTCTAACTTTCAGTAATCTTCATGACTAGTTAACTTTCAGAAAGGAAATGATGAAACATTATTTAAACCAGACACCCAAGGTTGCCAATGGGAAGGCTGAGGTTTAGGTGTGTTTGCTCTTGGACATTCACTTCAGCACAGGCTTCAGGATTTGTCAGGTCCTGCAGCAAATATGATTCAGGTCCCCACAGCCACATTCACAGCATCTCTTGTAACTCACAAATACTGAAACATTGCCAGTTTTAAAATCCTAAAGACACACATTAAAGCTAGGAATAAGCTGCACAAGATAAAACATGTACCACACTCGTTCATAAGCAAAATGGTCTCTTATTCCTTATACATGTCAGGAATTCCAGGAAGAAACCTGCCTCCCTGGATTTATACTAATAGGGCACCTTATTTGAATAGGGCTGGGAGCTCACTGTGTACCCTGCCACGTGTGTGTATATATACATGTACTTACATACACAGAAAAATACTTATCCATCTATGAAAACGATGCTGAAAAAAATCTGAATGAGAAGTAATAATAGTAGCAACAAATTTTGCTTTTGTTTCTTAGTCTGCAGCCAGAGCTTCACACAGCTTTCTCATTTTTTATTCTTTATATCAAATTATTTCTCAAATGGTCACCAACTCTGCTTGCTTTCTAGAGACATTGAAAGCAATTCCTTCAAGTTTCAAACTTATAAATTTACACCCAGCTGCTCTGTGTGAGTAACTGTGGGGATCAGCTGGTGTAGTGGCATTGCTTCCACTTTCCAGTTGAAGTAACCCCACCTTGGGGTGGATTTGGTTTGAAATTCAGTTCCTGGGAATATTTTCAAATGCTGCTTTAATGTATCCTGGTTCCAAATTAATAGCTTGACTGGAAGATAAAGATAAATGGAGGGAAGTCCACGATGGAGGAGTCCCCACTCCTCCAGGCAGACAAGGGGAGAACTGCTGGCACATCTCTTTCTACTCCAGCTCCTCAGTTAAATTCTAAGGTCACAAGGGAACATCACCAGTGTCCCACAAGGTATTATGTTAATAAATTTGCCTTCCATAGTTACAGAGTGAAACAAAGAAAAATGTGGAATTGAGTATTTCATAAACCTCTGCAAATTCAATAGTTACATGCAAAGGATTTTACACAGGATTGTAATGAACTTTTGGTCTTTCTTACAAGTCACTAATTTACAGGCTACTTTAAAACAATCTGTAACTTTTACAATCCTCTATAATCTAACTTTAAGACTAGAAAGTAAATTAGATCAGTAATAAATGTTAGAAATGCTCTAGAGTCAGACAACAGAACCAGACATTCACAAACAGCCTCTTTAAGTACACGAAGCTTCACTTATGAGCTGTATATAGAGTGAGATTCCTGATCATTTCTATTTTATAGCCTTATGTTCTATACCAAAGGCTAAGCTCTTTCCTTAGGCATCTCTTAACTCCAGCTGTCAGGAAACTGTGTAAAAAATGTAGGAGTAAATAACAGTGACTTTTGCCCTGGAAGGCAGGGCACATGTGGCTCTTGCACACTCCTGTGCTGCACAGCAACTACTGCTGTGCTGCAAGCACTGATGTTCCCTCCTCCATTAGACATCTATAGAGAACAAGAAGGGGGAGATGAAGAATAACTTCTTAACCCCATGACCATTCCAAACGTAAATAAATGCAGACAGGCCTCCTAAACACAGGAAGGACCAGGCTGTCAGCCCCATGATCCATTCAGGCTGTGATTCAGTGTTCAACAGCAAACAGCATCAGCCCCTTCAGAGAACAGTGAGCTCAGCAGAGGAGCTAAGGGGAAATTCCTGCAGCAGGGAGATCTCTCTCTCACACCTTAATAACAGGGCAAATCCTAATCCATAAGGCTTCATTCATTTTCTAAATAATTTATAGTTATCCTTGGAAACTATTTCAAGTAAGTGAATGTCCAGGAGGACCAAAACCCAACATTTCCTCGGTGCCTTTTTTAGTTACAACCCTGATATCACAGACCAGAAACAAGTAAATGCTTAGCAATCCATTTCCTTTCCTTTTTGTAACAGTAATTGCATCAGCTGCAAAACAATTGTCTTACCAACACACTCTCCATCCTTAAGCTCATAGCCTGGCTGACAGCTCAGTTCCTGGAGACACTGGAACGATCCCATGGTGTTGACACAGTGCTCTCTCCGCTGGCAGGTGTGCCTCTCTGTTACACACTCATTAATGTCTACAAGAAAGAGCTAAACAATTCAGTGCCACATATTTATCAAATGATCTGCCCCTTCCTGCTCTTTTGGAAGGAGTCAAAAGCTCAAGTGAAACCATTTTGTCCAAGAGATAGTCAATATAGGCTTCACTACAGTGCTCTGATGAAAGCTATTTCATTCCAGGGTCTTTAGTTAGCACAGAGTAACTCCAGAGACACAAGTCACAGGGAGATTTCCTACTCCTCCCCTCTTCCCAGATGTGCAGTGGATGGTGCAGGCATTGAGGACAGGGATGGACAGAACTGATTAAATGCAGGGTGGGCAGAGGATTGATGATCAGCCGGTGGGTTACTGGATGGGAACCTCCTGGACAAGTGAATGAGAAAGTGATTAATGCGTATTGCTTGTCACCAGGTTTTCACAGCTCAGGCTATTTATCAGTCCTGCTGCTTCAGGCCAGCCAGCCAAGAGCTGCTGGGATGGAACTGCTGCAAGAGATGGGTACTGAAACTGCTTGCCCTGCTGAGGTGGAGTCATCCAAATACCTATTTCCTAAGTAATGCCTCATTAGAACTGGATAGGCAAGAACACACGGCGAGATGAACCCTGAAGGCTCAATCAAGTTTGTAAATTTATATTTCAGTCTTTCAAGAGATCTGATTTCGGCAGGTGGAGCAGTGGAAAAGTTCTCTTTAAAAAAAGTCACTTAAATACAAGATTGCAGATTGTAGGACAATCAGGAAAGGAATATGAAACACCTTTAAAATGGTATGTTTTGATAGGATTGGACGAAATCATCTGAAATTCAGGTTTGCTCATGTTAATTATGGAAGTTAGGAACGACATGATGAGCAAATACTTCGAAGCAACAAAGAGGGGTAGAGACTGGAAAGAGACACTTTCTTGCCAATCTCCACAAAATCTCACATGTTCACAGTTCTATACAAAGCTGAGAAGTACTTCTAGAGCTAACAAAAGCCAAATGTGACAGAGCCATTACCAATCATCTGGCTGCTCTGCACATAAAGCTGTTTTCATACAGCACAATAAAGCAAGTATTGTTTAAATCAGATTTTCATTTTGGCTGTAGAACCTCATTCTCAGATAAGTACATCAGATATATGACTTCCCCTGCAGAGCATGAAAACAGTAAGATCCATTGTAAAGGCTTTTTGTCTTAGAAAACGAGTCAGGTTATTTTCTATCAAAGAGATGAAGAGGAGTACCAAGAAATTTCAGTTCGTGATGGACTTAGCTAACTGGTGATGTGCACTGAGTTTCATAAGACCAGTACATTAACTTGGTGCCATTTTACTTCTCATTTATTTTTGTCAGTGCTATTCTTCACATGCTGTGTACTTGCTTTCCAAAGCAAGATTAACCCACAGCAAGGGCCCTACCACCACCTGGACCTCTTTCTGCCTGTCCCACACAAGGTTTGAGTTCTCCCACTGAGTGCCAGGTACTTGCCTACCCCAAAGTTTTTCCAAGGTTACGTCCTCCTAATGCTTGTGCAGTTTCACAGTTTCTATTCATTAGAATGAAGAGTAAACCCCAATATTCTCCTAAGCAATCCTGGGGAGATCACATGCTGGGAGATGCATACAAGGTGCTGTGGTAGACCTCTCCCACCTAACTAGACTTAGTTCTTTAATGATTTTGCTATTTTTTTAATTTCAGAGAAAACAGTTGTGGAAAGCCACCAAACAGCACCCAAACCAGTGCAAGACTGGCTACACCACAGATCTGAGACAATCTGATCTTGCAACCACAAAAAGGTCTGTCATACAAACAAACAGGCAGCATTACACCACATCATATAAACTAAGTCAGTCCAGCACAACGTGAAAAGAGAAAGCAAGTTTGTCTGAAATGCAACTCAAAGAAGGTAGGAATTCCACTTGATTAGCAGGTGGGATACTAAGTAATTAATAGGCAAAAAGAAGGTTTGATTTCACAGAGAAAAAATCTAAATCTAATATAATTTCATGTGTTATCTAAGTTTTTTTGATTCAATTTTCAAATTTCTGAGTACTTGAGAAAATCTGTAGAACTGGCTGGAATGCATACATTAAAATGATGAAACTGGCAGATGACACTGCAGAATTTTTGCTTCCAATGGCATTTTTGTGCACGAGTGATATCACTGATCAAGCCTAATGACTGTGACCTGGGCTGAGTCGCAAGACAAACTCTGAGCCATGAGCATGCAAAGCTCTGCTCTGCCCTGCCCAGTGTCAGGGCATGGGTCTCCATCTCTGACATCAGGCCAGCTGCCAGCCTACTGCACTTCCCTCTTTGGTTTGTTAAACAAACATGCCTTTTTAGTTCATTTTTCTGAACAACTTCCCAAATGCTCCATAAAATCCAGAGTGCCCATAACCTGTCTCTCTTCAGTCCTGGAAACCAACTCAACAAGTCAGCAAGATGTTTGACAGAGCACTAGGAAAAATAGGAGTCATGTTTTCAGTTTGAAACACAGTTAATTCCAACACTGGACCAGCTGTAGTATTCATCCAACCCAATTAAGACTGTGAAGTAGGGCGAGATGATATTTATTTTTTAAAAAAAACAGGAATAAGAGGAAAAATAACTTTGTACTACATTAAAAACAATTCACACAGTTAATTTGTGAGAAATCTCCTTGGTCTGTGTGTATGGCAGCAACATTTCTCACTTTCTGTCAGCAACAACCAAAATGAAATGTAACCCTGTAATACGTCATTGTTCCCCTGGAACTGTTGATGAATACAGCAACATACACATGGTCCCTGGGCACATCTGTGGCCTCCAAGAAGGTGCCATTTTTGCAGAGGAATATCAACATTTACCTAGTAATATTTTTCTCAACACACTGACATCGAAAATTGACTTTGATGCACGTTCTACACAAATGTGAAATGCAGACTCTCTTTGTGCTGCATCTGCAGTTTCTCATCACTCTTTTCAGATTGCTCAAGCTCTACTTGTTTTATGGAATACATCTGTGTAATTCAGGCACATTGCTGCTTTGCAGCCACCACCCATCCTGTGCTCACACACAGTCCCCATGGTGCAGGGATAAAGGGACCACTTACTGCTCCCGCTGTCAGGAGGGAAACTGAGATGGGAGTAGCAAAGAAAGGAGCAAAGTAGTGGTAATGACTTTGCCTGAAAGTCACCAGGAAAAGCAATCCCCACTAAGGACATCCAATCTGGCTCTTATCTCTAGAGAACATGGAGCTTTCCAGCCTAAAGACACTCTAATATCTGCTCACAGTGACACAAAGGTGTTGTGTGCCAGCTATTTAAACAGCTGGTGACTCCTCAGTGTGCATGGTTGGCTTACAGGAATGCTGGATAACTGCTTTTGAATGCACCTGGAATTATAATCTTCCACTGTTTGACTAAAGGAAATTCAACAGATAAAAGGTTATCAGCTGTTTTGTAGCTGAGCAAAGACTGTTCCTCTTGTCCCTAAAATACACAAGGAGTAGCATCATTTAATCAACAAGAATTTGCAAACAAATTACCAAAAGTTTCCTTGTGGTGTCTGAGAGAGCTCAAGGTGGAGCACAAAGCAGTTAGGCTGGAAAAGAATACCTTTGGAGAATGGGGCTGCAATGAGGCAGGGAACAAAACAGAAACCAAAGTATGCTTGTGGCTTCCCCCTTGGACTAGAAAAGTAGGAAAAAATGTTAAATACAGCAAATGTTCTCCTGGCACCACACACGGAGCAGAGCTGGATAGGAGCAGGGAGCACACAGGGGATATATATCCAAAAAAAAAGGAAGAGAAATCTCAAAGTTTTCTAGATTATTTACAAGTATACCTGTAAAAACTGACTTGCATTAGAGGAACACAGAGGTTTGGTATCTAGTGAAGGAAAAGAGGGTCTTTTAGCTTCATAAATGAGAGTTGTGGCTTTCATTTCATTAGTAGTGACTGAGGTTTATCTTGTATCAGTCATGATAAAACTCTGTTATAATGTCATGGGGTAGAGGAGGAAAGTGAATAAAAGGAAGCACTTGGCATCTGCCATAGCAGCTTCTGCCAAAGTTGCAGACACACATGCATTAGTCTAGTTTCAAAATGCCCCTGTGAGATGTGAAAAAGGACAGATCAATCCTTCCCGCACAGGCCAGGGGAAACATCAGGGGCTGAAGTGGCAAGACTCAGAAGCAGAACACAGGGAGGGGCAGTTCCTGCAGCTGCTCACCTGCCAGACCTCATGCTGAGGAGTGTGGTGCCTGCAGCAGGCTCTGAGAGCCAGGGAGCACACACACCATGCTGCCTGGGGGCACCTCCACCACCATCCTCCAGCTCACAGTCTCATACTGTCCCTGCAAATGTCTCCTTTCTTCCAGTGCTGTTCTCTCAGCCACTTCATTTAAACTAAATCATTTCATTAGAGTTCTATGATTATCAGTATCTCTGATTTAAAGATAAATATTAATAATAACAAATTTTAAAAATCCAATTTTGACAATTTCAGGAAAACCCAGAAGATGATAAATCACATTTCTTCTCTAGACTCTGACACTGCAGGAGTGTTCCTGCTTGTGCCCACATGCCACATGAGGCTCATTAATAAGTTGAGATCATAGAGCTTTAAAGACAGGAACAAAACCAAAGCTGTGGTGGTCAGAAAAACAATGTTATAAACACAGGGAAGAGGACAGGGGTGGAAGAAGGCACATGCATTCCACATGACATTATAGCCACAGGCACTGCTGCTTTCACGAACGACGGGAGGTGCCCAGGTACTCCATTTTTCCAGGCAGCACTGCTGCAGCTCAGGTGTCTCCTACAGCAGCCCCTAGAAAAGCACCCCAAAAAGAAACTATTTCATAAGCTCAGGCCTTGGCTATGGGAAACAAATTAAATCCTCGCAAACACACTTGCAAAAATGGATTGGTTTCCTAAATGAACTCAAACAGCAGGGATGATACAGCAGAATTATGACGCATCTTTGACTTTTACACAAAGAAATTTTGTGCCAGAATCAACAAAGGCCTAGTGTGAGATTTAGAATCCCATCCCTTTGGAAGGCATCTCTTCCACTGCCCAGACTCATGCAGATTCCTCCAGCTGTGCTTCTGAAGTTTTGTTGTTCGGTGGTGTCTGGGAGCTTGGCAGTACTGATACTTGTCCAGAGAGATCAACTGCTCTGTTTTCTCAGTTCAGCTTAGCAGCCATCAGTCCTGCTGTGGTCATCACACCTATAGACTCCTATGACTTCTGCACAGTTATTTGTATCCTGAGAATGGTTTGCTAGGGTAAAAGCCAAATAGCACACAACTCATGAGGTGAAGTGGCTGAGCAAATGGTGCACATGTGTTTTTACTCACGCCTATTGAAATGTCATATGCAAAGATGGCCAGAGAGCCTTTCAGCACGATGGTTTGAATGCAGAGCATGAAGAGTTATGATGTTGTGGTGAACGGCTTATACCTCTCGTCTTACCAACACATTTCCTATGCCTGTTGAGTATAAAGCCCTCTGCACAGATCACACTGTGGTTGACACAGGAGAATGATCCCAGTGTGTTCACACATAACTGGCGGCTGGAACACGCGTGAGCACCTGTGAGGCACTCATCCAAGTCTACAGCACATGTGGCAGCCAAAAGGGAAAAACAGAATTCTATTAGAACAATTGCTGAAATGAAGAAACGTCGCGCTGGAGATGTCGAAATGAAGTGCGCTGGAGCTTCCCCATCAGCACCATGCTGTAATACATGCAGTGTTATGCTGAAAATAGGGCTGGAATAAAGAATAAACCCTCAGAGATCATCCAGCCCTTGCTCACATCCCTACAGTTGTGGCATTCCAGAAAGAAACACCCCTAAAAACAGGCAGACATCACACAGGGACAGCTCACACTCTCGGAAGGGAACCTGTTCCAGTGCACCAACACCCTCACCATCAAACCCTTCCTTTAATATAGATTATAAATGTCCCTTGCTACAATTTAAACTCACTGCTTCCACTGACATTTATAAATTTTTTCATTTCCTGTAGGAAAACGATTGCCTTGAAGTGCCCCTTTTGATTCTCACGTTAATTAATCAAATTAGCTTCCACCACACTTGAGTAAGCAGTGCACTGTGAATATTTCATCTGGAGATATTAAAATCCCATTTTCTTCACAGACTATCTGGAATTTCATGAAAATGATTTGTTATTCAATAAGATCTGAGATTAAGAGGGATGCAGATCATTTGTGAGCAATCCTGAGCATTGGAAGCTTTTACTTGCATTTCACTGTTATTGCTCCCATACTTAGGGATTTATCATGGAGGTATGTCACAGGGCACTGCTGCTGACCCCCAGATCTTCCCCAGGCAAACATAGCCTTTGTCACTACTCAGAGATGTCCATTTAAAACTGATCTAATGTGAATAGTCATGATGCAGCTTTGGAATTCACTGCTCACTGCTGTGCAGGCCTGAGCTCCAGCACCAAGGGGAACACCTGGAGCTGGACAGGCTGCTGTGGCATATCCTTCCTGGCTGTGAAGGTTTTCAAGGCAAGAGGAAATAAACCCCAAACAAAACAGATGTGGCTCTGAGGGCTTCCTCAGGACAGCAAACATGCCCATGTCCTGCTCACTGCTCCCACTCTCAAGACAAAAAGCTGTGTGTCCATAGCTGTGCAGACAGACCCTGGGGAGGAAGCATAAAGGAAAGAGAAACCAAGAGGGCTGAAAAAAAAAAAAAAAGCCTGGAATGTCAGAGGAAAAGAGTACTAATCCAGGCTTGCCTTCACCTGAAGTCCCCAGGTAACAGCCAGACTGTGCTTCAGGAGTTATCTGTGGAGCAAATCTAGGATTCCTTCTGCCAAATGGTCTCTGTAATGCCATTGCAATTCAAAATACTGAAAATAAGGAACCCCTAGAGAAACCCCCAGGGGGTATAAGAAAGACAATCGTTTAACCATGTCTCTATGGTGAGCCCAAACCACTTACCTTCACAGGAAAACCCATCAGCCATGAGTGTATACCCAGCCAGACAGGAGCACACAGCATCTCCTTCCACAATATTGCAGAGGTGTTTGCAGGGGCCGTTGTCTGCACAAAGCAAAATTGCACAGTACAGCATGGATCAGCTGCAGTCACACACCCCCAGGGCAGCCAAACACAGTCTCAGTTCAGGCCATGCAAGCAATCTGTCCAGGCAGCCCTAATCACTGCTTACAACCCTCCTACTGTGCACAAACACACCTGTTCCACTCCTACCTGCACTGCTCCCATTAAGCTGCACAGCTGCACTGCTTACCTCAGACTAAACAGCGGGTGGGTAATGACCCTGAAATCAGAGTGTAGCCTCAAAGGACTTCCTCAGGTTTCCCCTGACAATTCCCCAGCCTTGTGCCAGAGGTAACAAATCAAGGATGTATGCTAAACCCAGACTGGTGAAGGGATAAGTGGAATTTTATTCCATCTCTAAACATTCCTTACTCTTCTGCATCTGCAGTTCACACCTCCAACATACCTTTACACTTATCCTGTTCTTCCTGTAAGGACACAACGAGAATGGGCTGAGAGGGAGAGGATACTGGAGGGATGGTGGCTTCAGCTTTCAGCCTTGTCACCTGTTCTCTGTCAGGATCTGTAGGGCAAGAGAGGCAGAGAGGATCAGGGGCAGCATCATCCCCAGACACCCCATGACAAGGGGTTCAGTCTCATTTATCCCACTCCATCATGGTTTGTAGGAGGAAACAAACATGGAGACAGACTGGGGAGCCTGGCTTGAAATAACTCATACGGTAAAATATTGCAATACCTGAATAAACCAGAAAGTGTTAATTTCATTTTTTTTAAAAGTCTGCTGTATTGTAAATACAGTGGCTGTCTCATTTGGTGTTAGATGGGAAAAAAATCCGAACCCAAAACAAGCCTTTGACCTTATTCTGTCCATCCTGTTTCACAGAGCTGAACAGCAGACACTTACCTTTACAAGCACAGGATACTCTGGAACGACTTTTATACAGCCAAGTGGAAAACGTGACAGCTGCTGTCTGTCATTAAGATTTTCAACAGACAGTAATGTTAAAGGTATCAGAATAGTTCAAAGAGCTCTGTTACATCAATAAGAGCAATCCAGTTTATCAATATCATCAAAACAGAAGCCTATATCCATAAGGCTGAATTCTTCCTTAAGAGGGATGTGTCCTGTTCCCACTGATCTGAGTTCAAGTGTCACCTGGAGCACAGTGTGAGCCACCAAACAATGACCACATTAAATGACCAAGGGTGACTGCAATGCAGGTTCGGGGTATGGGAGAAGTGATTTCAAAAAGTAAAGCCATCACAGACATACAATGGGCTACAGCACAGACACAACCAAGAGTACCTGCTTATGACATGGCCCCAGAAATGCCAGAGATGTACATGCACACACACAGGAGTGAGAATTATAAGGCTCCTGTGCCACACTGCCAGGTGGAGCACAAGGTTTAGCCCAGCACGGCCAGTGAGGTGTCCTGCCCCCTCCCTCAGCCAGCCCTTAATTCCACACAGGAATGACAGACCCAACCCTGCTCCCCTCACTCCTCCCGTGCACCTCATGCGTCCCACGTGCCACGTCACAATCCTCCACCTCAGCTGAACTCTGCAAACCTCTCTACAGCCGTAAGCACTCCAGTTCTGCAGTCTGGAACAACACTCACTACCCAGACACGAGATGTTTTCACCCAAATCTGCGCTTCAGCAGAGTTAGTGGTGGGAGAAGCAAAGCAAAGCAAAACAAAACAAAAACACACATATGCTCCAGGTGAACAAACAAGCCAAATTCTGCAGTACTAAAATAAGAACCATTTTCTTTGCCTCTTTTTGGATCAGGTTCCTTCCCCAGGATTGAATATAAACAACAGAGCAGACAGCTGCCCCAGAAACAGTCAAGTACATTGATGTAAGCACTGCACACCACATTGAGAAGGATGACATAACGAGTGCTCATTGTTTGGCTTGGGCAGGGAGTATTAGAAGCCTAAGGAATTCTGCCATTGGATGGACACACTGATTTTGCTAGTTAAATAACTGAAAGCACTTGTAACTTATACAAGGTTTCAACTTTTGGGATTATCTGATTTGAAATCTTGCCATTGGAGAACTCCAGACATCAAAACAATTACAACACAATAGACTTTCTCTTCCAGACTTCCACCACACTAGATAAATTTAGAGTTTGTTATCACTGAGGGATGTTAATGATTTTAGATAAAAATCAAAGCTCAGGAAGCAATGCTGTCTGAGTTAAGTTTATCTAAAGGAAACCTAACTGTGAAACACAGAATTACTCTGAGATGAAAAGGCATTTCATTAAAAATCTTTACAAATCTCTTTCTGAAAAGTGCAAACACTCTTGATTTAAACATATGAAATACCACCCTGATCTCATGCCACTGAAACACAAAAATAAGGCATCATTAAGTTTCCTCTAATATTACTTTTCTTTACATTATTACCTCTCCAATTTCTACAGAAATGCCCCTGCCTCAACACCCGCAAAAACCTCACAGAAACTCCAGAGATACTAAAGAAAAGCTTTGTAGATCAATGCAGGTGGCACAAAGACAGTCACTCATGGTATTCCCTGTCCATTTTCTCACCTAGAGAGCAGCTGGACCCATCATCTTGCAATGTGAATTCTGGAAAACATGAGCACTTGTAGGAGCCCACAGTGTTGATACACAAATGCTGACAGAGCTCCCCACCATAGAGAAGACACTCGTCCAGGTCGTCTCCAGGAAGGTTATTTGACAGTTCAGTTTCACTGCTGATGGATAAAGCTTCATTGTGATCTTCTGTCTCTGAAACTACAACAGAACAACTCCTGTTGGTTCTCTGATGGGACTGGACAGAATGGAGAATTTGTTCACATGAACTCCAATAAAGTCAGATCTACCGAAAATTGTTACTCCAAAGATGAAAACCAATTAACCCATCCTGAAGATAACACCTTCTCCTTCTGTAAGCCCGAGGCACAGACATTTTACAGAAGCCACTGAGAAACAGGGAGACCCTGGGAGGTCACAAGCTCAGCTTTCACACTGACCATCAACACCATTGCTATTGATATCTGAACTCAGGTATCACATCTGAAATTGGCCTCACTAAAGAACCACACTGAATTTCAAATTTCAGGAGAAAAGTTGGTTTGGAAATTCTTTTCAACACCACAATTCATTGTACCAGCATTACCAAGAGCCTGGGTGGTACTGAGCAGTGACATGGCTTTCCCACCTACTGCTTTAAAACATCAGCCAAAGCACCATCCTCCTCCATCCCTGACCAAGTCTGACAAGACTTTCTGTGATACTAAAATTAGTTGCTCAGAGATTTTCCCAGCCAGCTTTCCTTAAACACATACATTCAAATTTCCTTGCTCAGTGAGGTCTCAGCTGAGTTGCAACAAACCTTTTTGCTTGTTTGTGAGAGAAAACACACATTTAATTCATGAGAAGAGAATGGACAAAAACTGCACCTCAGCATATGCAGGAGGTTACCATGTGACTCGTGTGACAGGTAGGTATGGAGTGATGCTGGAGGAAGGGTGACCTTGGGCTGAGGGAGGAAGCATAGCAGTCCAGGCTCCAGATTTGCCACATTCCCTTTGCTGTGCCTCTTTGGCTGCAGGACTCAGCCTAGCTCTTCAGCATCACAATGTTTATAGGTCTAAAGAGTGGAAACTAACTCGCAGTGCTCTGGGGCTTCTCCAGAGCATGCTGTGAGAAAGCTGCCATGATGTTCAGCAGTATGGCATGAAAGCTATTCCCAGGATGTTTCATTGATACCATAAGCCATGGGATTATTTAAGACTGGACAAAATTCTTCCTTTGCTTTATGCAGAATCTTTGAGGGTTGCTTCTGCTAAAAGGCAGCTTCAATTTGCTTCTTACCAAGAGCTAGTGTCAGGTCTCTGGACTATGTGACTCAGGGAGAAAAGACAAACAAAAGACCCAGCTGCTACAGAAGGTATGTTTTAAGGAGCAGAAACATCCACATATGTTTTGCTTTCTCAAAACTGTTTTAAGAACAAGGAAGTCTATACTGATCTGAGAGGGAAAGCAACTGTGCTCCTGTCACATTGCTCCTTCTAGCACCTCCCCATACAACTGTGTGAGACAGAGATCTCATCTGCAATGTTTTCAAATGATAAATGTACACTTACCCTTCTCAGGTGTTACTGTTGGCAAAGGTTCAGGATGTCTTTTTATTTCTGGATGGATGAAGTGATCCCCCCCTTCACAGCAGGACAGCATCACGTGGCTGCAGGGGTAGCCCAGGTTGATGTTGGACTCACAGGTTTTCCCCTCACTCCTCAGCCGCAGGCCCAGATTACAGCAATCACAGCATTGCTGCAACAGAAGGTGACTCTCAGTAACGAGGATCTGGAAGCATTGGCACAGGCTGTCCAGGGCAGCAGTGCAGTCACCATCCCTGGAAGTGTGCAAAGAACTTCTGCATGTGGCACTTGAGGACATGGTTTAGTGGTGAACACGGTGGGTTGACGGTTGGACATAGTGACCTTAGAGGTCTTTCCAACCTTAATGATTCTGTTCTGTTCTATGATTCTCTGATGTAATACAGCCTGCTCCAGGGATGAGCCCACACACCTAGAACTGAGCTGCACTTCCCTTAGCAGCAGAGCATCTGGAAAAGCACTTTGGGTTTAGACAGTTGTAAACATCAAAGCTTTATTTGTGCTTGGTTTTGCCATTCTGCACAAACGAGAGAGCTGCAACCAGGCTGAACACAAAGTCTGGTTTTGCCACTGATTTCAGCAACTCCATGTGTGAGGAAGTAGAGGTGCCACAGATCAGCCTCTCTTAGCTCTTGCATGCAGCCATTGCTTGTGTATAGCATATTGTAAACAAAGTAATACAGATCTATAGCTCTTCACATTAGAGCTCAAAAAATGATTAGTTGTTTGAAGCAATGAGACAGGAGTTGGAAATGCTTTGCATGGCCTAGAGGATCAGCAGTCCCCGAGCCCTGTCAGTATGTCAGTAAAGACTCTTTCCTCTCTGCACCATTGCCCTGCAAACCTGCTATGACCTTCAATTACCTGACTGTGCTGGGCAGCCTCCCACTGAGACAGTGGCTGGAGGGAGGCCAGGGTATATTTTATAAGCTATTTGCCTTTCTTTTCCTTCTTGAGACAATCTAAGCAGTAGCTTCGCTGACAGGATGATGCAATGGGGCCTCCCACCTCTTCCAGTTTCCTGTGCTGCAGGTGGCAGATAAAATCTGTGTGATGCTTTACTCAGTGACCTACAAATCTATTGCACTGACAGGCCATGAAGTACATCAGATAAATGATATCAAATTCAAAAAGACCATACTGTGTATGCATAGTGGATACGTAACCAAGCAGGGAAGCTGAGGAGCTGTGAGTCTCTGCTGCAGAGACAACAGGGGTCACATGTGAATTGAAGATGTCTTTCTGGATTTAAATTTGTGTCCTGTCACCCCTAATATATCAATCTAGATATATATAGATATAAATAATATCTATTTCACTGAGAGAAAAATGCAACTCCTTTGGTAGCCATCCAGCCTAGCAGCACTCACTCACAGACTGCAGCTACACTGAAACAGCCTCTGTTCAGAGAGCCCAGAGAGTTCCTTCAGTCTGTTCAAACATTCAGCCTATGAAAGGCATCAGACACAGCAAATGAAGGGCATAATTCAAGCTGGCACCAGTTAGCTGTGTCAACAGAAAGTCCAAGGACGGAGCAGCAGCAAACAGAACTCAGCTCCCACTTCCCCTGAGGGAGATCCCTGACCTGAGGAGGGCAAAGAAGAGAAGCAGTGTTGTAAGGGCTGCACGAGTGTGGAAATGGGAAGGAATCACGTTCCATGATTAGCAATCCCAGGTGGGCATTCACATTAACCCAAAGCCTGTCTCCAGTAGGGAGACGGGAAACTCAGCCACTGACAGCTCAACCCACAGAAACTCTTCCACCACGTCACATTTTTCAAGACTCAGACGCTGCAGCTTTCGGGCTCCTTGAGCATTTCACACCCCATCCGTAGCCTTGCGTGTCAGGCAGTACTTACAGCTGCAGCTCGTGTTTTCTGTCCCTGCCCCCTAAGCTGAAAAAGCCCCAAACATCATAAAGAGTAGACGTTACTCACATTTGCAAATATGCACAGCCATAAGGAGTTGCCTTTATGTGCCCAGATACATGTTTGTGAAAAATTTACAGTGCAGGTCCTGAGGAAGATCGATTATTTTGACACTAAATTGGCTTAATCACCTTTTCAAAAGAAGTATTAAAATTTTTGAAAAGTAAAAAAAAAAATCTAACTCCAACGGATTGTGGTCAAGTTAGGAAAGGGGAAATTCCTTCCTCTATCCTCCCCCAACCCAGAATACTCAGATTCAAAATTTTAGGAAATGAAAATTCTATTTTCTGTTAATATTTTTATTTTTGCTTCCATTTTTTCAGCTTTAATATGCAAAATAGAAGTAGTTCAGGAAAACACATGTTTTTACTGAAGTACTGTAAAATATGGAATATTTGCCTTGAAGATTATGGCTTATTCCAGGCATAGTTTTGATTCACAATTTATCCCACATGCAGGCATCACAGAGAGCATTAAATCAATCATACACCTTTGGGTTCACATACTTTCCAGGTGAATACAAGTGTCTCATTTACCAGAGGAAAAATCTGTGCGTCAAAAAGTTCCTTCTAAAATGCGAAAAATTGAATGTCTTGATCCTCTTTTAGCTAATTTTTGAATTTCACCAGAATTCTAGAACTGATTTAATAGCAAAGATGACTATTTTCACACTGCAATTGGGAAACACACCTTCAGCACCATTCTTGGATTTCTATGACTTTCTGTGTTCCCCTCAAAAATACCTTTGCTGGAATCCAGCAGAATTGGATTTACTATGCTGGCATCTCCACCCACTAGGAAAAAGTCCTTAAACATGTGCTTTTTGTATTAAATAACAACTGAAAGCATCCTAAGATTAGGTTGTATTGAACACAGGGGGAACTCCTGGATCGAAACAACCAGCACTGCTGCATCCACCTGGAAGCAAAAGGAAGGACCCACATATAAACTGCCTGAAGAGCACCTACCCATGTTTGTTACCTGGAAGTAAAACCCCTGGCTTTTGGGAGCTCAGTGTCTTGCCAAGCTTTTGGGGCAGTGAACTTATCTTTCCACATTCCAGGCCGACTTTTTGAATTATGTCACCCAGGCACTGCAGTTCCTGAGAGCAGAGAGCTCACCACTACAGAC